ACCCTGGGACTGTAGGCACCAGGCCCGGGTCCAGAAATTTCAACCTGTCTTCGTCCTCGACCAGCAATGCTGAAAGCAGGCTCTTTGTGTTGAAGATAAGCCAGGGCTGCGTCTGCTGCATACTGTCCAGGTCCAGGCGTCTCAATAACCTCTCGTGGTGGTCGCTTTCGTGCCATGCTGAAGGATGGACCTGTTAAAGTGCTTGCTGCTGGATAAGCTCCCGGTCCAGGACTGTCATCCTCCAACCTTCGTCCATATTTCCCAGCAAAAGAAATAGCCGACGATTTTGGACGCTCTCCAGCATTATAGGCGCCCGGTCCAGGCGTTTCGGCACTTGTAGACATTGGCGACTCTCTTTTCGCCAGAATTGTAAAAGACGGACCGCTTTCTGAAGCTCCAGCACCGTAAGCACCCGGTCCAGGTAGAACTTCTTTTGGGTAGGAAGACCTTCGTCCCTGCATTGAGTAAGCAGGATCTCGAGGATGAATGATCTCACAGTCGGCTCTGTATGCTCCAGGTCCAGGCATAAGTGCTTTTTCGTCTTTCTCGTGAGAAGAAGGATGGCGACCAGGAATTGTAAATGCAGGTCCAAAACGCTTATTTCCATGCTCGACAGTGTATGCTCCTGGTCCGGGATTATCTTCGTCATTGTGGGGAGGAGGAGGCTTGCAGGAGATCGAATACGCTGGAGATGCTGGAGTGACTGGCTTGACGTCTGGATAGTATGCACCAGGGCCTGGATTCTTGTTGTCTTTGTTCTTCCTTCCCATTTTTTGTCTTTTACTTGTGGTTTTGTGATAGGCAGAGGCGCGTTTTGAGTTTTAACGGCTGGCTGAACACATAACAGAATATCTCATTTTAAGAAATTGTCTGGCGCCTATCATGAAGCATAAGAGTGTGGGAAGAGACTAAGTTGCCTATGCTTCTTTCATGTGAATTTGAAACGTGTTAGTGTTATGCTAGAATAAGTAGTATTTGTAGCTTGTGTGTGGCGAACTAGAGAGGTTGATGTGTGTTTGGTGCCCTTTATCCTAATTGGAAGTGCTCTAGTGCATCAGCCCACTTTTGATCAGTGGTGACATGAAGTTTTCTTAAATGGATTGTGTTTAGGTATAATGTTTGCATATCAACCAGCGGCAACATTTTGTGCGCCAGTTCTGGTCCAAAGGTTATTGCTGCTGCTCTAAAGCTAAAATTTCAAATGAAAGAAGCAATGCTAAGTTGTCTCCATAGTATTATGGGCCTTGGACAATTTTACAGTGTGTGGGGGATCTTGCATACACTTTGGACTTGCCAGCTAGTTCGAAGATTCATCCAATGTTCCATGTGACCAAGCTTAAAGCGTGTTTGCACTCTAGTGATATCATGGATCAATCCATCATCCAGGTCCTAGAGATTGATGCAGAAAAGGCTGGTCTGGCCAATATTCTTGCTCAAAGATTAGTGAAAACACACCGAAAGATAACTAGGGAGTTGTTAGTTTAGTGGAATGGTTATTCCATGGATGAAGTTACATGGAAAACTAAGAATGACGTGAAGAGAGTGTTTCCGAGTTTTGGTTGACTTGGATGACATTCCTAAGGAAGGGGAGAATTGAGTTCTATAGCCGTATTGCTATATGATTTGAGCTGTTTGTTCTATTCACATTCTCTTGTTTCCATGACCGTATTGTTATGTGAGAAAGCCGTATTACTTTCTTTCTTTTGTGGCTGTTTGTCGCAATGTTGGTGTTGCTGTTTGCACATTTTTTCTCCATGGCTGTATTGCCTTGGACCCCCTTCATGTGAGGCTCATTTAGCTTCTCGAGGTTACCTTATGTGGCTGGGTCATGAGGGAGGGGAGAATGACACGAACCATAGGAATATTCTAAGAATATTCCATGGTCCATATTCCATTCCAATATTTAAGGCCATAACGCTTTGGGAGGTTGGCCTAGGGTTCACTCTCCTGTTCATTTCAGTGGGTAGATCAAGGCACCACTTTGCAAGGAGGGTAATGCACACTAATGTGTGAAATATGTTGTTATAACAGTTGGATTCCAGCAATTGTATGTACTAGAATGTTTTAGGTATATATCTGCCATACAAAAAAATTCCAATCTAGGAGGGTATCTCTCCCTTGCAGCATTTATGCTGACAAGACACTTGGAATTGGCCTATACACACATGCTACAGAACACTTTTTTCAGGGCATGAGTGGCAAACCCTAATAAATTTATCCTAGAAAATTGTCTTTTACCTTTTAAACTGGTAATATTTCTTTTTATATATGTGTTGTGAAATATATGCGACCAAATTAATAACAATAATCATATTGGGATAAAAGGATGTAACACATCCTTTTATTAAAAAGATGGTACTACTAACCTAGAGTGATATTCAATATGAGACTGCATTAAAAATAAAAAAGAATTTTTAATTTGTTAATCTCTCTCACATCAGAAAGACATTAACTGTTTCACATGTGGCTTTTTTGTGGTTTTGTGCTCTCTTCTCTCTTGCTGGCTCTTGCACTCTCTCATCTCTCTTGCAGCACTCTATCATGCACTGTTGTCTCTCTTGCCTTGGTCCAACATGCAGCTTTATCATTTGAGCTTCTCTCCATGTAGGATGTCTCCATTTTAGGGGTTTAGAATGACAGAGTGTGTTTGGAGGAGAGATGACAACTTATGGCCGCTGGGTTTCCCCTAGCAAGCCACAAGCCATACTGGAACTGGCAGAACAGGGGCTCTGAGGTGTCATATAAGGTGCAGTTGCCCCTGAACGCCCCATTGCCGCAGAATCTTGCAGGAAATTGGCAAAGAACGCACTTTTAGTGATTAGATCTGCTCTGGGCCACTGCAGTGCCACCAATCAGCTGTCTCAGCTCAAAATTCTCTCATCAATTCTCTCAATCCTCTCTGGATGCTAGACGCCAGCTTTGACTACGTGGTCAATGTCGGTCAAAGGGAAGCTCAAGGGTATATTAAGGCATGTTAGGGTAAGGGACTTAACCTACCCTAGGGCTCAACATGGAGCGGCGGCATAGTGGAGCTTTTGAGGTAGCTCGGGGGTGGTTGGGTGGTGAGGAACCTCAAGAGGTGGCGTAGCATAGTCTAGGGCAACTAGATCTTTGTCTTTTTATGCCGGATCATAACATTGATATCAGAGGATTGGTTGCGATGGCCGACCAAGCTGAACGCTGGAATCCTATTGTCGATGGTGGTGCCAACGATGGTGCCGACGAAGCTGCAGAGATTTGGACCATTCAAGATGTGGTTCATGAGCTGCGAGCCCTTAATCGAAATCAGCAAGAGATGCAAGACGAGATGCATGGCATGATGGATACCATGCGTGGGCGTGTTGAGGCACTCGAGGCTGGACGGGGTAGCGCTCCAAGTAAACCTTCTTTGGTAGATCGACTCAAGATTCCAACCTTTTCCGGTGATGGTGGTGTGGACGAGTGTCTCGCTTGGCTAGCCAATGTGAAGAAGTTCTTGGCTGCTAGAGGAACTCCAGATGCAGAGGCTTTAGTGGCTATTCCGATGGTTTTGCGTGATGCGGGTCTTCGATGGTGGAATTGGCTTGAGGAGTCCCGTGTTGCGGATAAGAAACCACCAGTGTCTACCATGGATGAGTTTGAGGCTTCTTTCCGTTTACGTTTTGCCCCTCATTACGACGTGGAGAATGCTCTTATAGAACTTCGCCATTTCCAGCAAGGGAAAATGACACTCGGGGATTATATTGAGAAGCTTACTCGCTTGATTAGTCGTGTTCCAACGAAGGATCCAGATCAGAACAAGTCCTACTTCATTGATGGCCTACATAGTGAGAGCATGCGGCAACACTTGTGTCATTCTCAGCCTACAAAGAGTTTGGAGGAGCTCTTTGATGCGGCTCGTCGACTTGACAATGACAAGCACAAGTCTCGCAAGCGTTCGCGGAGTCCTTCTGTCGAGAATCGTCATGATGATCGCCGTGGACACAAGGATGGGAACAAGCATCACAAGTTGAAGTTGGTGGTGACTACTTCAGATGCAAAGGGGTCCAAGAAGCAGAAGTTCTTTGTGAAGAATTATAGACAGGGTTGTCATCATTGCGGCGAACTTGGACACTACAAGGCTGATTGTCCACAGTTGAAGAACAAGCAGCAGGACAAGAAGAATGGCCAATCATCTTCTCACAGTAAGTCAGATACTAAAAAGTTGCAAGCTTTACAGCGTGAGGATGATGAGAACGACCATTCCGGTCAGAGGAAGAGACTTTCGATCGTTGCTCGTCAACTCAACTGTGTGTGGAACAAGATGGAGCTCGAGGATACGCATGAATCAGCTTTAATGCTAGAGGGCGTGTTTCGTGGCGATCCAGTGCAGATTTTACTGGATAGTGGGAGCGATGACAACTTTGTTTCGGCAAAGTTTGTTGTGGAGCATCGCCTAAACACACGTGGAGTTCTTCCATACACAGTGGAAGGTGTAGCTACCTCTGCTCAGCATTTTGATGCTTGTGTCGAGGGGCTGGAAGTGTTGGTTGGCAAAACCACACTTGTGGAGACTTTTTATCTCGCGCATATCCATCGTGTGGATCTCATTCTTGGGATGCCATGGTTGGTGAAGGTGGATCCAGAGATAAAGTGGAGCATTAAGCGTATCTCGCTGGAGTATGGTGGTGTTAAAGATGTGTGGTTTGGCGAGGGCGTTCAACCACCAGTTGTTATGCTCTTTGCTACATCTTTGAAGTGGGCTTGTCGTAATGGAAAAGCACTTTCAAGTTACTTGCTGTTTGTTCGTGACTTGGGGGACCAAGGCACGTGTGGGGGAGAAGCAGCAGTACGGGATGTACTTGATGAGTTTTCTGATGTTTTTCCATTTGAACTTCCTCATGGATTGCCTCCATTACGAGGTGTGGAGCATGGGATTACATTGGAGCCGGGGACACGGCCAATTTACCGGTGTCCATTCTGGTTAAGTTATGCGGAGGAGCAAGAAGTTCAACGACAAGTCAAGGAGTTACTTGAGTTTGGATTTATTCAGCCAAGTAAATCTCCGTTTGGTGCTTCAGTCTTGCTTGTGAAGAAGAAGGACGGTTCAATGCAGATGTGTATTGACTACCATGCTTTAAACAAGAAGACAGTGAAGGATAAGATGCCGATGCCACGTGTGGATGATATCCTGGACAAGCTTGGTGAAGCACGAGTGTTTACCAAGATTGATCTAAGGAGTGGATATCATCAGATTGCAATGGATGATGCATTTATCTCCAAGACGGCATTCAATACAAGCTTCGGACATTTTGAGTTTACAGTTATGCCGTTTGGTTTGACGAATGCACCGGCCACATTTACTCGGTTGATGATGGAGGTATTTGGGCGTTATCTTCATGAGTTTGTGGAGATTTTCTTGGACGATATTCTTGTTTTTAGCAAGAATATGGAGGAGCATAGGGTGCATTTGCACAAAGTTCTTTTGTTACTTCGAGACAGCAAACTTTATGCGAAGAAGAGCAAATGTGAATTTGCAAAGTCGGAGGTGGAATATCTAGGCCATATTGTGACATCTAAGGGTGTCAAGACGGATCCAAGGAAGGTGGCTGTGGTGGAAAACTGGCCTACACCGACTACAATGGCCAAGTTGCGCAGTTTTCTTGGTATGGCTAGTTACTACCGACGTTTCCAGCATAAGTTTGCAGAGGTGGCTATTCCTTTGACGCGGTTGTTACGCAAGAATGTGCCATTCGAGTGGAAGAAGCCACAAGAGGAGAGTTTTGTGGCGCTGAAACGATTGTTGAGCGAAACTCCAGTGCTTCGCATTGCTGATCCATCGAAACCTTACGAAGTGACATGCGATGCGAGTGGTTATGCACTGGGAGGAGTTCTCATGCAAGAGGGACAGCCTATTGCATATGAGAGTCGAACTTTGAATTCCGCAGAGCAACGCTATTCCACATATGAGCAAGAGTTACTCTCTATTGTTCATGCTTTGCGGATGGCAGCACTATCTTTATAGTGCAGTGTTCGTGGTGTTGACAGATCACAAACCACTTGTGTATCTTTTCACACAGAAGGAGTTGAACACTAGGCAAGCTCGTTGGATGGTCAAACTCATGGAGTTTGGGGAGTTTCCTATTGAGCATCGTCCGGGAAAATCAAATGTGGTGGCGGATGCTTTATCTCGTGTTCGTCATGTGACGACATTATGAACACGATTTTGTCATCATTTGAGTAAGGTGGTCAGCGAGTTTGGGCAGTTGGTTGAGCATGCTCAGGCTTAGGATGCTGAGGTGGCCTCTTTGCGAGCCCAGATGGAAGCCCCTTTCTCATTGGTGGATGGGATTCTCTACTACAATGGCCGTGTATATTTGCCACAGGTGGATGTGTTAATTACTCAAGTTTTATTCCACTATCATGATCGTCCAGAGGCCGGTCATTTTGGGGGGAAGAAGACGTATGAGTTGATTAAGCGCAACTTTTATTGGAGGAATATGAAGGCTGATATCCTCAAGTATTGTAAATCATGCGAGCTTTGTCAGCGGGTTAAGGTGCCACGGGAGAAGCCGGGGGGACTTTTGCAACCTTTACCTATTCCTCAGAGCCGTTGGTGTAGTATCTCTATGGACTTCATCACTTGTTTGCCACAAACACAGAGGCAAAAGGAGCAAGTGTGGGTCATAGTAGATCGGTTAACGAAGTATGTGCGGTTGTTGGCTCTTCGGAAGACTGTCACTGCCTCAGACATGGCTGCGGTTTACTTGGAGAAGGTTTTTCCTGATTTTGGTTTGCCAAAGGACATCATTAGTGATCGAGATTCAAAGTTCACCAGTGGATTTTGGAAAAGCTTTGCAAAGGCTATGCAAGTGACTTTGAAACTCTCAAGTGGAGATCATCCTCAGACGGATGGGCAAACTGAGCGTGTGAATCAGGTGGTGGAGGATATGCTACGTTGTAGCATTGGTCAAAGGCAAGGACAATGGGATCTATATCTTCCGTTGGTGCAATTTGCTTACAACAATAGCCAACACAGTGGAACCAAGCTAAGTCCTTACTTTGCCATGTTTGGAAGGCATCCTCAAACAGCGGTGGAGTTGGGATTGCATTTGAGTAAGGACGTTCAAGATAAACTTGATTCCGAGGCAACTGATCTGGCCACAGAACTTGATGAGATTCTGGTGGTGTGCAAACGGAATTTGCAAGCAGCTCAGGACAGAGCAGAGAAGTTTGCCAATGAGCATCGCCAATTCCGGGAATATAAGGTGGGTGATCTCATCTTTGTGCGAGTGATCTTTCCATCAAGTGAGCGACGGAACACCTTGGTGCCTTTACGGACAGGGAAGAGTGATAAACTCTCCCATCGATATGCTGGTCCATATGAAGTGCTAGAGCGCATTGGTAAAGCGGCTTATTGAGTGCGGCTGCCAGTTGGGGTGAAAATTCATCCGGTATTTTATGTCAGCCAGTTGAAAGGTGTACTATCTCGGAGTGACGGGCCCAATGCCTCCTTGATGTATATGGCTGTGGAAGATGGACCAGGAGCTTGAGCAGGATTCCCCAGAAAGGGTGATCACCGGTACAACTTGTCCTTGGGACAAGGACTTTGTTGGGGGGGAAGAATTGTTAGGCACCAGCTTTGACTATGTGGTCAACATCGGTCAAAGGGAGGCTCAAGGGTATATTAAGGCATGTTAGGGTAAGGGACTTAACCTACCCTAGGGCTCACAGTGGAGCGGCAGCGCAGTGGAGCTTTTGAGGTAGCTCGGGGGTGGTTGGGTGGTGAGGAACCTCAAGAGGTGGCATAGCATAGTCTAGGGTAACTAGATCTTTGTCTTTTTACGCCAGATCATAACACTGGAGGAGTCTCTCCAATCTAAGGACACTGTTACATTTTTAGACACTTGTAAACACAAAATCCCAAAAGATGGGAGTGAGGCCCAACCTGACTCTACTTCATTACTGACACGAACCACGGGAATATTCCGAGAATATTCTATGGCCTGTGGGATTTAAGGCCGTAACGCCTTAAGGGTTGGGAGGTTGGCCTAGGGTTCGCTCTCTTGTTCGTTTCATTGGTATCGGAGCAGCACGTTCTTTTGGGGATGGCGGGAGAGCAAGATATTGATCTTGATGAGGAGTATGGCGTTAGTGATGATAGTCATGACGATGTGGAAGAAACTCTTGATGATGTTGTTCTGTGGCAAGGACGCCAGATTTCTGCGGTTCAGAGCGACATAAAGGAGGTTAAGGATTCCGTCAATCTCATTAAGGATTTCTTGCTTCGCATGGACCCTCAAGGATTGAATCGATCTCATGTCCGTGATTACCATTGGTATGTCAAGCATGCCAAGGATTATGGTATCGTGGAATGGAAATCATCACCGGATGTTTGTGATAGTCACGAGGTTGATTCTTGGTTGGAATTGTGGGAAAGTTGTTGGTCTCACAATCCTTGTGAGGATAAGGTGAAGATAGATTTCTTTGTGACAAAGCTTACGGGCCATGCTTCTTCGTGGTGGAAGAATTACATCAAAGCTAATCCGACGCCGACTTCTTGGACTGATTTGACAAAAGTTTTCCGCGCTTCATTTGTCAAGAAGTTTGAAGAGGTTGATCTCGTGAATCAGTTGTTAGAGATCCGGCAGGGGACTTTGTCTTTGGATGTGTATGCCCGCAAGTTCCGTGATCTTTGCCTTAGTCTCACGGGCACCTATAATGAGCTGCTAAAGGTGCAATGTTTTATCAAAGGATTGAGCTCGGTGGATGTGCAGCAGAAGGTCAAGAAGGATTTTCCAGCAACATTGACTGATGCTATCACTAAGGCTCAGATCTTTTCGCCCGAACCGTCAGTCAACTCGGTCAACTCTGGTAAACGAGATAGTCCACGGAGTAGTCAACGTGATGACCAGCTTGCTAATTCTTCATATTTGGGGAAGAAACGGTCGTTATTCCGTTGTGGCTCGAAGCATGAAGATGGTAGTGAAGCTAAGAAACTTCGTTTGGACCAGCGAGAGAAAGACAAGGCGGAGGGCAATTGTTTTCGTTGCCATAGAGCTGGACATCAAAGCAAGGATTGTTCTGAAGGGGTCAATGAATGATAAGGTGACTGTGGTGGAAATTATGGGCAATGATGTGAGTGAATGCTTTTGAGGCCGTATTGCTTCAAGTTAGGCATTCTCTCGCCTTCATGAGCCACAAGTTTGATGCCACACAGTGGAATTGACCTACTCGAGAATGGCAATATTATCTATATGGATCGGACTTCTATGTAGATTCAAATCATCAGTCTCTCTAGATATGGATCTTCGAGGCTGCCTTGCTCGTTGCCAAGAGTTCCTGCAGGAAATGTCTGTTAAGATCCGGTACAAGCATGGAGGTGATAATAAGGTGGCTGATGCATTATCCAGGATGGTAAATTCTATCTCGTTTGTGAAGCTATCCAGCGATCTCTTGGATGAGCTTAAGGAGTTTGTTGACTTTGACTCCTTCATCACTGATATTCGCGCGAAGGTTTTGTTGAGGGACGCCTCTACAGATTTAAAGGGTGACAAGTTTTCGTCATTTGAAATACGAGATGGAATCCTGGTGAAGAAGGGACGTGTTGTGGTTCCTCGTGTTGACAAACTCATCAAACGGATTTTGGTTGAGTGTCATGATGTGCCAAGTGCTGGGCATCCGGGGGTATTGAGAACATATATGTTGGTGAAGAGGCATTTCTTTTGGCCTGGGATGAAGTCAGATGTTGAGAAGTACGTACGTGGTTGTTTGACCTGCCAGGCGGTCAAAGTTGATCATCAGAAGCTCGCTGGCCTCTATCATCCTTTACGTGTACCCGAGAATAAGTGGGATAGCATTTCGATGGACTTTATCACTGGTTTGCCCAAAACCTTTCGAGGAAATGATGCTATTTGGGTTGTTGTGGATCGTTTGACGAAGATGGCTCACTTCTTCCCTGTGAAGACAACGATAAAAGCTTCTGAACTTGCTCAGTTGTTTGTAGACCGGTTATTCAATCTCTCTGGTTTGCCGGGTGACATTGTGAGTGATCGGGATCCTAAGTTCACGTCCAAGTTTTGGCAAACGGTCTTTGAAAAACTAGAGACTAAACTGAGCATGAGTAGTGGTGAGCATCCACAATCTGGTGGGCAGACAGAGCGCATGAATCAGCTATTAGAAAATATGCTACGGTCTTTTGTGGGAAACTTGACTTGACAGGGAGTATGGGAAAAATACTTGCCTTTGCTTCAATTTGCTCACAATAGCGCTTATCAATCGGCTATTGGCATGTCTCCTTTTATGGCGATGTATGGCTATGAGCCTAGGTCTCCTGTGAGTTTGGCTTTGGTTCGGGTTCCTCATGCTTGTGATTTCTTGGAGGATATGCAAGACAAGCTTGAGTTGGCAAAATTGAACATGAGGCAAGCTCAAGAACGAGACAAAAGATTGGCTGATGAGCATCATCGTCATCAAGAGTACAAAGTTGGTGACAAGGTTTTCCTTAAGCTGTCGGATGCACAACGGTCTCTAAAAGGAGGTGGCAGTGCTAAGTTGTCTCCACGGTATTGTGGACCTTGGACAATTTTACAGCGTGTAGGGGATCTTGCATACACTTTGGACTTGCCAGTTAGTTCGAAGATTCATCCAACGTTCCATGTGAGCAAGCTTAAAGTGTGTTTGCACTCTGGTGATATCGTGGATCAGTCCATCGTCCAGGTTCCAGAGATTGATGCAGAGAAGGCTGGTCCAGCCAATATTCTTGCTCAAAGATTGGTGAAAACATGCCGGAAAACAACTAGGGAGTTGTTAGTTCAGTGGAATGGTTATTCCATGGACGAAGCTACATGGGAAACTGAGGATGACATGAAAAGAGTGTTTCCGAGTTTTGGTTATGACTTGGATGACATTCCTGAGGAAGGGGAGAATTGAGTTTTATAGCCGTATTGCTATATGATTTGAGCCGTTTGTTCTATTCTCATTCTCTTGTTTTCCATGACCGTATTGTCATGTGAGAAAGCCGTATTGCTTTCTTTCTTTCGTGACCGTTTGTTGCGACGTTGGTGTTGCCGTTTGCACATCTTTTCTCCATGGCCGTATTGCCTTGGACTCCCTTCATTTGAGGCTCGTTTAGCTTTTTGAGGCTACCGTATGTGGCTGGGTCATGAGGGAGGGGAGAATGACACGAACCACGGGAATATTCTGAGAATATTCTATGGCCTGTGGGATTTAAGGCCGTAACGCCTTAAGGGTTGGGAGGTTGGCCTAGGGTTCGCTCTCTTGTTCGTTTCAATTACCCTCTTGTAAGCAACTAAAATTTCATTTTTCTTTAGTCAACCACACCTTTGACCTCTTCTCATTCATAACTTCTAAAGGTCCACATTCCAACATGGTACTTGCTACCCCAAAGATAGCAGTTCACGTCTTACTAGTTCACGTCTTACTGACATAGCATTTGGTCCCTCGTGTCCTGAGTGTTCAACATGTCCAAGTCTTCATTGATCACTAGTGGTACCACCAATGCATGTCAAGTCATGTTTGCTCTTACAATCTCAGTAGTAGTACAACATGGCTACTACCACAAACCTGTTTTCCAAGATGAAACCATCCATTCCATGAGTGGCTATCCCTTGACCACTCCTTAACATCCTTATGATGCTCCAAGCTATGGAGAAACCCTGTCTTCCAATGTTCCTTGATCCCTGTCCTCTAAGTCCCTTTTCAAACATGACATTAGTCACCATCTGCCATCAAATCGGGGTCTGGAGACCCACCCACTAAGTCCCACCTACCCCAACCGTTGGGTTGGATTACTTCTCTTCCACACTTCACAGCCCTAGGATGACATTTTGAAACACCATGACCCAACTTGAGCCTTGTGGGTGCATAAACTCCCCCATCGTCTTTGTGCTTCTTGAGTTCTTCAAGAGACTCACCCAGCCTTATATTTGTGCCAATTGGGGCTATGTATGAGACTTCTGGGTGGCACAGATTCAAGGTTTAAAATGCTGTCATTATAGCAATCTACAAATGGGCGTCCAGCCCTTCAAGCAGATCTTGCCGCTATGTCAGAGCTTTCATTCCCCCCTCTTTCCGCCCCTTCCATGTTCCAGTCCTAAATTGTATCAGATCGTATTTGAAAACATAGAACTAATGATAATTAATATGACTGTCTCGCATACTCTTTGATCTTGCACTCACTAAAGTCAGTAGCTTTTTCCAACTTTCTAGCCGAAAAAGGAAGGTAGGGGAAGAGGAAAAAGACAAATCAAATAGAGGATACAGGAGACTGTGGAATTGTTACATTTGCTTTTTGTTGCTGACCAAAATCCTCCCTTATCCTTCTCGACTGATGGGTTCCCTCTCGAGCGATCTTATGAACCACCACAAGACTGACAAAAAGTCTAAGCCCTGGTCTAGGAAGTGTATGCTAAATCTGGCACATAAAGAACGGCACTATGTTTTAGATTTAACCTGCAATGACACGAATAGCCTCAATCTAGTACTGTTCAGTTATTCATGAATGCTTTGTCTCCGCTCCAGTTAACGACTCGTACTACCAAACTGGTCGAAAAACGAATGATGGATTTGATAGTTGTGTTCATCCTGTTGATACTGCTGCTCCCTGTTTTATAAATATTATGGTGAGAAAAGAACTAAAATAAAATAACCTTTCTCGCTTAAGTCTTGCGTTGTGCAGATGATCCTCACTCAGCAGTTCATTTTCCAGCCTTAGCTTATTTGCAATCTGCAAGAGGAACAAACTGACACTTTTCTCACTGTGATTTCTCTTACCTCCTCCTCGCATCGTTTTAGCCTTGCTCTTGCACCCATTTGACCATGCTCATAAGCCCAATACTCGTCCTCCTCCTGCTGCTTTTTCATAACGTTCTCTTGAATTTGTCGAGCAACCACATCATTCACTGCGTTTTTTCTTGTGGCATCTAACGTGGCTTCTTGATCTTGTTGCATGTAACGCTCTGCTGGAACTATGGTTATCTGGACAGTAATCTACTCATACTCGTATGGAATGCTAAAAAGCTGTTTGCCTTACAGGATCATAGGCATTAAAAACGTGGTATTTCTTTTTCCATCTCTCTTGAAACTCGTCATCTTGTTTCCTCCACTTATCTTCAAGATCACGTCTTAGTTCAATTCTACCTTGTCTGCCATCAACGACGTTTTTTGAAGAGTGGAACTATAATGTCCGTATAAACCTCAGTTTCTCATCCGTCTGATTCCATTTGTGCAACTGATACGCCTGTATGTGTTCTGCAAATAAACATTTAGTATTGCGAGAAAACTAAAGATCGCACCAAGTTTCTTCCTGTTGTCCTCTTGTATTTCTCTTTTTAAAGTCTTTTCTTGTATTTGTCTCTCAAGTGCAGTAACATCAACCTAAGAGACTGTGAAACTCCAAACAAAAACTTACGAAAAAACGAACCGAGATTGCCGACTTGGGATGAAAAATTCGGTCTTTCCGTGCCGCGTCATCGAATTTACGAGTCCGGGAGAATCCGGAACCTCCAATTTCATCCATTTCTTTTCCAGTGGCTTTGAACATGATGATTTTGACCTGCCGCTTTGCTGCAAACCTAACAAAAGATGGATATTCGAATAGTTAAATCAATGGTCTCACGCTCTAGAGTCGGTATTTATCAGGTTTGGTTTTGGCTTCCAATTGGCAGCGCGCACGGGTGCCCGAGGAGGGAAGACGAGGGGCTTGACAGCTGTAACATGCATGTAGTGTAGCTGCGCGAGCAGCGGGGCTGGTGGATGTGGAGATGAGCGGGCGTGGGCTCGAGTGAGCCCCAGCGATGCGAGCTTGTGCAACACGATGGCGATTGGCCCGGGTGAAAAGCAGCAACGACTAGACTGCTGCCAGATGCTGGAGAGGTCAATTTGTAAACGTGATTGTTGTTCTCCTTTTTCTTTATAGCTCTTTCGTTCTGTTGTGATGGGCCCTTTTCATCAAGATCGTGTGAAAGAAATGCAAGTTTATTAGGTTTTTCTGTCATGTTGACCACTAACTATTCACAGTGGACAGAACACATCTTGCAGGAGCATGGAATCCAGTGGGGGCGTACTCAGTTTCAATTCCACT